TTATAAAGTGCATATTTGATTATATTTATTATAAATTTGAATGAATATTGAATACTGAAGTCTGAAATTTTAAAACTTTACCGTGGATAATACGCAAAACGGCATTATAATAATAATACGGCCTTCTCTATAGCAGCCGGTTGTTGATCGGCCTTTTTAGCGCTACCTGGCGGAAGGCGCGCAAACCAAAGTGCCGTCAGATATGGACTCACATTTGAGCTCGAGTGACTACACCGTTTTATCTACATCGTGGAGGTAGCATATAATTCTGTAGTAGCATAGTGACCATGGTATATGCATTACATTATCGACAACCGTGATTCAAATCTATTTTAAAATATTATCTTAAACCTTAGATCATATGATCTAAGTCTTAAACCGTAGTAATAATCGTGTTAATTATTGTATCCACTTATACACTAGTCTGTTACTACGTTTATGTGCACAATTAAAGTCGGTTTAAAGACTAAAGCGGTCTAATCGAGCATCAGGTAAACGCTTTAAAGCGATCTTAATAACATAAACCGTTTTTGTTTTAAGGACGCTCGAATTAAACCAAATTAAATCGGTTTAATAAATAAAGTCTGCTGTTTTTTGAAAACATGTAAACACTCTAAACCGATAACTTTTATATTGATAAGTGATAAAGTATTTTTCGGAATAATGAATGTTATAACATACCGATTTAATATTTAAGACTCACGTCATGTAAACAGGTCAGGAAATTTAGTTCGACTCATAATAAAATCGGGAACGGTCAACTCGTATCATGTTCATGTAAGCGTAGTAAATGATTGTATTTGACAGTTTTAATTTTCCCGTTATCAAACGTTTCAAACGTTTAGCGATATAAAATATTTTCATCTTTGACGTTGTGACCTGCGCCCTGCGGACAATATATTTGGTATTTTATTGCTTCATAACTATTAAAAAATCTTAGGAAATTTGAAACAATAGGTACGAGCAAGACGTACAAATAAAATCATGGCCACAATATTGGAAGGTACTTATTAAATATAAAAAGCAGGACTAGGCCTAGGATTTTTTATCACTACAAATAACTGAAATATGCGTTTTAATGTGACCTTAAAAATCTTAAAATAAGCGTTATAAATTTTATTATAATATGCTCTATACACATGAAAAATTTCAAAAATTAAAATTTATTTTGTTCGCGATTCAAAAATATACGTACAAATGTACTGTAGAATATTCTGTGCTAAAATATACAAGTACGACCGGTACAAATGATAATGAATCATAATTATTTACAGTTCGATAGGTCAAATCGCCGGATTACTTTAAAATAGATTTTAATATAAATAAAAATGTGGGTATTTACTACTTTTCCTATGAATTCAAATGAAATATAATTAAAATAAATTACTTTTTACTTTTTATACTTTTAATACCATGTAACATAATATAAAAAAAAAAAATGTGAAAATAAAACGTTAAGAGGACGCCACACCCGCATGTGTTGTCTTCGTCTTTCAAGTGCGWAACATGGCAAATTTTATGCTCAGCAGTTCCAATTTAGCTCCGTTAGTTTACAACTTAGAGTAAATTGATCTCTTATAAGAATTAAAGGTAACATTATTATCTAGGTTTTCACAGAGGCGTTTTATTATATTTCAATTTTGAAGCGAGTTATGAGTATTTTAAGATATTCAAGCAATTCACAGTTTTAAAAATACTCATAAGTTGCTTCAAAATTGAAATATAATAAAAAGCCTCTGTGAAAACCTAGATAATAATGTTACCTTTAATTCTTATAAGAGATCAATTTATTCTAAGTTGTAAACTAACGGAGCTAAATTGGAACTGCTGAGCATAAAATTTGCCATGTTACGCACTTGAAAGACGAAGACAACACATGCGGGTGTGGCGTCCTCTTAAATTAGATGACTAAATATTTTAGTTGACTACGTTTTCGTGTTCTACGCTTTCACAGTTTCATCTTTTCTACCTACTGTTTCTTACACTCTTCCGAGTTCCAATGTGATTTCCTTACGGAAATTGTAGTATGACATCAGTCGTCGTACAAAATTGTTTGTTTTTCATAGCACTAATGTTAATGTCAATACTAAATAGATTTACGTTTAACACTTTGCTTATTACTTAACTATCAGCTAAATTAGTTTGTTTTAATGGCAACTCCAAAATCAAAAGGCTTTTCATGTTGTGCAGTTGCCTCGTGTAAAAATTATTTAGGCAAAGCCAAAAATGAAAAGCCTCTATCTATCTATGAACCTTGGTTCGGCTGTTCACGTGTGCGGCGTGCAAATTGACGGGCGCTTATAAAAAGTAGTTGGTTAGCGTTTCCCCCATTTTGTGCCCATTTATGTAGTGGTTAGCACTCCCTATTGTATTCAGGATTTAATAAACAAACATATTTTACAGATTAATTTTTTAAAGATATTTGTGTTAAAAGAACCTGATTTAATGTTTTATCAAGGCAGCAAAGATGAAATTCAACTGATGTGGATGGAACTATAGAGCTTAATTGGAAATATGTAGTAGGTAATTTTAATGACATGAATTTAAAAGATGAACTGTTGCGGAGTATGTAGGTATGCATGTGGTTTTGAAAAGCCATAATTTATTCAATAGCGTACTATTCTGGCATGCACCAAGGGACATGATGTCATTGTTCAGTCCCAAAATGGTACGACGGATGGATTCAACGAATAAATTGTAAACTGAACTCAATTTCCTAGCATAATAAATAGCTTATAGAGGATGAGCATTTCCATGTCCACTTTCTTTTATTTTTTTTTACAAATTTTTTCTTATTAGTTGCGCAATGAAGTTTAAATTATAAAATCTTTTATAAATTATGTAGGTTACATAATATGTCTATCTATTAAGATTTTAACAATTTCACTTTACTACCTTACGACAATGTTTACTGTGAAGCAAATAATTATGAATTTGCACCGACTTGCTGCTACAATAATGTTGCACAGTAGTCTTGATTACCTTTCTAGGTGGCCAAAATAATTGTTTCATAAAATATAAATACAAAAATTCCTGGAATTGGCTTAATTACTTATAAAAACTAATAAGTAAATAAAACATAATATTGAATTGGAATTGATTTATTTTACCTTTATTATACCATTTATACAACTTAAACTTATATAAGATCTCGAGGCCATTGTCGCTTGAGTCTTCTTGGGAGATTTCCAGGGATGGAGATGGATAGTAATTTTTTAATATGAGGGTTTGTGTGGTTATGGAGGCGGTTTCTGAATTTGGAGTAAAATAACTTGGCTGTATCAGTGACTTTAGGAATATGGAGATCTGTGTATAGGGTGTGATTTGAGATATAAGGAGGACAATTGATAATAAGTCTGAGGATTTCGGATTGGAATACTTGGATTTTTTGAATGTTYGATTKTTTRRYAGTSCCCCAGACCTGTATACCATATAACCATATTGGTTTAAGGAGGAGATTATATATGTGAATTTTGGTTCGGAGGGATAGTTTTGAGAATTTACCAAGGATGGGTCTGAGAGCGTAGAGTAGTTTGTTTAATTTAATTTTTGTTGCATGAATGTGTTTAGYCCACGTTAGACGTTTATCGAAAATTAGACCTAGATATTTAGCTATATCGGAGTTTGGTATTGGTTTGTTGTTTATTTGCACTAGAGGAGGTAAATTTTAATATAATAGCATAAAATACATAATAATATACATATATAGTAGGTATTGTTACTAATTATTATTTAATATATTTATGTGTAGGTATTTACCAATATCTTGTTCTTTTATTCTAAATCTGTTTCTGAATCACTTTTCTTATTTATTTTT